TCGGGGGGAGGGGGGGGTGAGGGGGGGGGGGCGGGAGGGGGGGGGGGGGTGGGGGGGGGGGGGGGGGGCCGTGGGCTACTTCCCATACATTTTCTTAAATGAAATCCAAACGATATTCTCACAACTTGCAAAGCGATCAGCAAGGGTCTTGCCAGCGGATTTGTGTACTGATCATGCGCATTACGTCAAAAACCATAGATCAACGGTCTTGAGAAAAAACAAAAACAAGGCAGTCGAAGGCGGGACTGTTTCTCACTATTATATTTTAGTAATTCGCAAATTTATTGATTTTATGTCGCTTTTCAGATATAGTGTGTGGTTTTTCTTTTTCTGTTAAACAATGTTCCTTTGCAGAGTTTGGAATATGCAACATATAGCTAGCTCCGTATAGCTGCTAAGAAAAGGCCGCCGAAGAGTTGAGCTATCCAGCAGTGTTTTGCTACAAACCTTAGGAAAGTTAAAGTCGCTTCAAGGTACAGAGCTTTCAGTAGTAGTTGTGATTTATTTTAGGATCGTTTTGAATTTTAACTTTGGATTCAAAGTGTTGACTGATCGAAATAAACGAAGTGAAATGTTATGAAGTGTTAATTTTTATTCAGTTACGATATGAGAGCAGTAAGGTCATATTTATAAAGCTTTCTTGAATATACTTGCTTCCGATAAATTTGTCACTTGCTCCAGTAATTTTTATCAGCATCAAGGTTATCCTTGCCCGGCAAAAACGATGTAACCTATAAATAAATCCATCGAGCGCGTTGTTGTTGGTTAAGATTTAGCACGGTTGCGTTTTAGTTTCCCCCGCATTTCAGTACCGAAAGACAAGTACTATATGCAAGAAAAACAAAGCTGCATGATATAATTTTTTTAAAAATTTTTTAAGCATTTCTGATCTCCTCTGCCGGTTCGCTTCAATTCTTGCTTCTAAAATATTTACTGTGGGAAAAATACTGTAATTATCCGCTGACCACCATGCTGGGTGACCGCTTTGCAAGTTGTGAGAACATCGTTTCTCGGTCCCAGACCTCGTCTCNAGTTTGGAATATGCAACATATAGCTAGCTCCGTATAGCTGCTAAGAAAAGGCCGCCGAAGAGTTGAGCTATCCAGCAGTGTTTTGCTACAAACCTTAGGAAAGTTAAAGTCGCTTCAAGGTACAGAGCTTTCAGTAGTAGTTGTGATTTATTTTAGGATCGTTTTGAATTTTAACTTTGGATTCAAAGTGTTGACTGATCGAAATAAACGAAGTGAAATGTTATGAAGTGTTAATTTTTATTCAGTTACGATATGAGAGCAGTAAGGTCATATTTATAAAGCTTTCTTGAATATACTTGCTTCCGATAAATTTGTCACTTGCTCCAGTAATTTTTATCAGCATCAAGGTTATCCTTGCCCGGCAAAAACGATGTAACCTATAAATAAATCCATCGAGCGCGTTGTTGTTGGTTAAGATTTAGCACGGTTGCGTTTTAGTTTCCCCCGCATTTCAGTACCGAAAGACAAGTACTATATGCAAGAAAAACAAAGCTGCATGATATAATTTTTTTAAAAATTTTTTAAGCATTTCTGATCTCCTCTGCCGGTTCGCTTCAATTCTTGCTTCTAAAATATTTACTGTGGGAAAAATACTGTAATTATCCGCTGACCACCATGCTGGGTGACCGCTTTGCAAGTTGTGAGAACATCGTTTCTCGGTCCCAGACCTCGTCTCTTCCCCCCCCCTCCCCCTGCTCCAACCCATCCAAAAATCATAAACGGATGTTACAAAAGCGGATCTTTAAGAATGGAGACATTAAGTTTCTACCTACCCGGACCTTCAGGGATAGCTTCCGGAATAGAGGCTTCCAAGAAGACAGCATTGTGGTCAAAAAAAGGGCAAGACACAATCTCGCAAGGAGATACCAGATGAAGACAAGCAACACGGATAACCAATTAAGTCAATCTGGGAAAATACAGAGCCAGCAGATTTTAACCAAGTAAAGGCATGAACATTCCGATGCAAATGTCGCCAGAAGTCTATAGCACAGCACTCGCGAAAAAGCAGGTTCAGAGAGACGAAGCTCTCGCGAACAGTAACAGACGGGTCCGAGCCACGACGATCCTTAGTTCGGTCAAACACTGCGTTAAAGTCACCCCATAAAATCGTGGTAACTGACATATCAACAAAATCCAGACAGGAAGTAACGAAACTATTACGCTCGGGATTTTGATTAGGTGCACAGATACATGCGCTCCTAAAAGTGACGTCCCTTCTACAAATCTCGGCTATCAGGAGACGCCCACCAAGCTCAACCAAAGAATTGACAAGAGAAAACGATGAGTGGTACGAGATGACCTAGTGGCAAGAGTATACGGTACCAGAAGCTTAATTACCGTCAACAGAGCAGACGATTAGAACCAAGAACTAGCCTCGGTGAAAGCAGTACTGTATGTCTTCTGGAGACAAACAAAATCATAAGAGAGATGACGCAGCCACTGCACTAGACCAGCACATTTAAGGGGATCCGTGATCCCGTTACATGAGACTACAAGATTACAAAACGAACTCCTCAAGAGAGGGCGCACGAGGCAAAGTAGGACCTGGCTTGGCCCTTTCGGCAACAACTTGAGGCAGGCTATGCCTTAATTCCTGACAATGGCTTTAGAAGAGGGGACCGGCGCATATCAGCGTAACCACGCGAACCCTTGGCCTTGCAACACAAGTCACGCGCCTCATATTGCGACCCAACCTGACTAACAGATGAGAAAGAAACAACTTCCCCACCAGCCTTAGGAGCAGCTGCAGAAGATTCGTCAGCAAAATCCACTGAGGAATCCACCGAAGGCAAATCAGTAACAAACTCCATACCGTCAATATGTTCACCCTCAGAAAGAAAGGGATCGAGGGAAGGAGCAATCCCAAGAGGATCAGAATCAAGAATAGATGGTAAACAAGGACCATCCTCAGCATCAGATCCACCCTCATGAAAATTAGGTTCCTCTTCATTTAAGATCACAATTAGCTTCTTTGAAGCGCGCCACTACTTTGCTTTTCATTATTCTCTCCTAATTGAGTAATATTCTCATTATTACTACCTTCCTCTACATTATCTTTACTTCCTCCGAATTCAGTAAAATTCTTATTATCATTACTTTCCTTATCTGCAGTAATACTTTTGTTATCTTTATTCTCTTCTACTACAGTTATATTCTCATTAATACAAGAAACATGCTCACCAACTACAAAGTTACTAGTGCTTGCTTTAGGCGTACTAGCATTAATTCTTTCATTCCTAGACTTGTTTTTGACCTGTCTATCAGATAGAAAGAATTCTCTTTTATGGTTCTCACAAAAGGAATTCAGACCAGAAAGAATACTCTAGTTCTGCAAAAGCTTGAGCTCCTTGTCTTTAAGAAGATTAGAATTTCGATCAGATAGAACTTCCAAAGCAGATGAAAAAAGAGGCTGAAAAACCCTATTTACCTCCTCTGCGGCAGCCTCTGAAGACGGGCGTAGAGGCGGGAAGTCGGCATTATAAGCGGAGGACAGATTGCCTGAACAATTACGGGCAAAATGCCCGGACTGCCCACACTTTAGACATTTGTCCCTGTTGGGACAGTCACCGGACTTATGCCCCTGCAGAGCGCATAAATTTCTTACGAGAGGCTGACTTCTGTACCACAAACGAACTAAGTAACACTCGACAATCAGATAACGAGGGAGGGTACCAGTTAATACTACATAAACCAAACGGGTGCCATTATAGATGCTGGGATTAGAAACATAGGTTTGGCTCGTTTCAAACGTCCTGCTACTGCTGTGCCGAATTAAATTCGACTTTAGCACGGCAGTAGCGCGACGTTTGAAACAAGGTCTTGCTACTGACGTGTATCACAGCAAGCCTTTTCGTGCTACACGACAGTATCTCGACTTGGCTTCAAACGCCGTGCTACCGCCGTGCCAAACCCAATTCATAATTTATAAATAAATTTTAAAGTTTGCTAAACCGTTTTTTCATTTTTGTGTTTTGTTTTCGGCAACAGCCGTTCAATTCGACTGAATTAAAGTCAACGTCTGAAACCAAGTCGTGCTAGTGTCGTGCTACGGTCGCGCTACAGTCGAACCAGCTTAGCATGGCGGTAGCACAACGTTTGAAACAGGCCTTTGTTTGTTAATGTTCTTGACGGAATCAAAGGTCTGAAAAGTTACCTCAAAGGACCAATCGTTTTCCTTAAAAGGGAAGTCGAAGACATGTACACAAGTAATTGGGGGACCACCCCCCAAAATGTTGCAAGCCGAACAAGTGTTTGCTGGAGTTGTTTTGCCTCACGGTTGTGCTCGGGAGTGCCAAAAGTGACACGAACGACTTCGTAAGCACTTTGAATGGCTTTGATATTAAGACCAGAGAAGACACGGATGACCTCAGTCATAATTTCATCCTTGCTCTTGTCCGCAAGATCGCGTCCAACCTTAATGCTAATGGTTCGGAGCAACCACATGACGAAAAAGGACGCAGAAAACGACGATCAAAAAGCGAAATTGGCAAAACGACAAAAAAGCAAAAAACAACAGCAAAGGCTGGAGAAGCGACATTGGCAAAAAAACCGACAAAGCAAAAAAAAAAAAAAAAAAAAGGGCAAAAAACAAAAAAAAAAAAAAAAACGAAAAAAACAAAAAAAAAAAAAAAAAAAAAAAAAAAGAAAAAAAAAAAAAAAAGAAAAAAAAAAAAAAAAAAAAAAAAAAAAAAAAAAAAAAAAAAAAAAAAAAAGAAAAAAAAAAAAAAAAAAAAAAAAAAATCAAACAAGAATGATAGATGCCAGAAAAAAACCAGAAAAAAAAAAGAAACAAAAAAAAGACAAAAAAAAAGAGAAATGAAAAAAAAAAAAAAAAAAAAAAAAACAACAGAAAGGAAAGAAAAAAAACATGGACAAAAAAACCAAAAAAAAAAAAAAAAAAAAAAAAACAAAGGGCAAAAAGCCAAAAAGAGAAAAAGGGCGCAAAATGCGCAGCAAATGAGAACAAAAGAATTAGCGCAAAAAGCAGCCAATTGGAGAAAAACAAAAACACACTCATGATCAAAAACAGCAAAAAAGACAGCAAAGTGAAAGATCAAGTGCAGATCGCTGTAAGAAAAGCAAAAGCAAAAAAGGCAAACAGCGACAAGCGCTGGTTGCGCAGATAAAAAAAAAAGCAAAAAGCGCGTAAAAAAACACTTTGCAAAAACACAATTAGTGATAAGCACTAATTGCGAAAAAAGCAACTTAGGCAAAAGGCAAAAAGATTAGTGACTAAAAGACACTAATCATACAAAAAAAAATACTAAATACAGCAAAGTGGAAAATAAACAATCAGTGTCGGGAAGACACTGATTGTAACAAATGCAAAAAGAAAGCAAACAGCGACGAGCGCTGAATGCGTAAGTAAATTAAAGAAAGCAAAAAAACGTCAAAACAACGCGGTTTGACAAGAAAATGACAAAAACTATTAATAGGAAAGCAAATTGAGAAAAGAAAGAGAAAAGAAAGGAAAAGTCAGCAGACCCAGGAGTCCAGAAAACGCTTCCATCAAAGGCTGTAAACACTTCGCTCTATACATAGGAAACCAAAGAGAAAAAATGGAGAAAAGAAAGGAACACTCACCAGATCCAGGAGTCCAGAAAACGTATCCACCACAGGCTGTAATCACTTCGCTCTATACATAGGAAACCAAAGAGAAAAAATGGAGAAAAGAAAGCAAAACTCAACAGATCCAAGAGTCCAGAAATCGTATCCCCCACAGACTGCAAACACGTCGGTCATCGACAGAGCACGCAGGCGCATTAAGATAGTGTTAGATACTTGCCATTATATCAGTAGATGAGAGTCAAGTCGCAAACATGTGGGAGTGGAATTTCTGTGTTCTTATGGGAACATTTACGAAAGCACGCATACGCACTATGATGGTGAGATATGTACCTACATTTTATTCATAAACGGAACTCAAGTCGTACAGTGTGGGAGTAAAATGTCTGTCCATTCATGCGAACATTTATGAGAGTACGCATGTGCACTACGATGGAAAGATATGTACCTGCATTTTTTTTGCAAAACGAAACCCAAGTCGTATTTATAAGGAGTGAATTTTCAGTCCCCTCATGCACATTGAAACATCTTGTCAATAAAAACTCACCCTAAACGTTTTTTTTCTACAAAGACGCAAACTTGTGCAGTAAGATTGGATAGTGCGCATGCGCCCTTCAACATCTTGTCAAAACACGTACCACAGAAGGTTTTCTACAAAGTTGCGAACTTGTGGGATTAAGATTGGATAATTCGGAAGCGCATTTCAATATCTTGTCAAAACACGTACCAAAGACGTTCTTCTTTTGCAACGTTGCTAACGTGTGGGGTAGGGTATGTATTATAAATAATATAAAACATTTGTGTAGCGCATATACAGCAGCTCTATGGGCTTTACAAGATATTCACACCATCAATGTAATTCTTCAAAACGATATTGAAAAAAATATGTCTTAAGCTTTCACTTAAAAGTTGTAAGGTTGTCACTAGGTCTAATGTCATCAGCTAACTGATTCCATAGCTCAGAGGCGGAGATAGCGAAATCCCTAGCACCATAGGTCTTCACGTTACTTTGAAGGTGAAAAGAGAAGAATTTAAAATTTAAGGTGTTGTGTTGTCAACCTTCAACTGCTTTCGAGAGACTAGCAATTGTCACATCAGCCCCAGAGTCTACACAAGCCATCCACACGCGACTATAACGTTCACTCCGCACTCAACTAAATACAATGTTCACGCTTATACATCGCGCTTTGTTTTGTTCCCAAAAAAATAAATATTTTTATTTAACTGCATGTAACATTAAATACTGCCATAAAGCGAACAAATGAAGAAAGAAGCCTTAAACTGAACACACAACAAAACGTTTTTTAGCTTTCTTTGGCAAGTTCTGTTATTGTAATTTAAGTGATTTTCTTATTCATAGGAATGTTAAAATCACGATAAAGAAAAAATTAAAACTAGAGGAACAGTGTCAATCTCCTGCCTTTTCTGGGATTTTAGGAGAGGTTAACGCCTAGCAAAAGCGAACCGTCCTAGCCAAACAAAAGCCAAACACTTTTTGATGAATTCATTGGTTGTAAGCTTACTCTTCAAACATACTATCCTTCTGACTGTTGAGTACGTTGGTAGATTATAAAAAGCCAACAGATAGACGTTATTTAGTCATTCGTATTTAAACTATGGGCAGTGCTGCTCATTGCTGCTCAGTGCTGCCCGACTTTCACATTTTAGCAGATGATACTAATTTATTTTATTCCAAGCGTAGTCTATCTGAACTGGAGGATGTTATTAATAAGTAATCAAAAATTTGACTCTAATTGGCTTATAGCAAACAAGCTCTCATTAAATGACGACAAGACAGATTTCATCGTATTCTCCCCCTCCCCTATCAAAAGTCAACAGGTCACGTTGTCAAATTATTAATTGGCAATAGGGAGATTGAACAAGAAAGATTTATTAAATATTTAGGACTACATATTGACTCACACCTTAGTTGAAAGTTTCAGATTTTGCTTATTTAAAAAAAAAATTAAGCGCTGTATTGGAATACTTTTAAAAATTAGGTACTTTGTTATAGCCAACAAGTCCTTGTTCACTTATACTACACACTTATTTATCCCTTTCATTTTTTCGCGAGAACAAAGGACCAAATTCGGCGAACTTCGCTCTCACTACTTTTGCACAGTGCTGTAGCTTAATTACCTGGCCTGGGGAAATATACATCCAACTTTTCTACAGCCTCTTATTACTTGACAGAAAAACGTAGTTAGAATAATAACCTTTTCTGACTGATTTTAATTCCCAGTCTAGTCTTCTCTTCCACAAGTTGGGGTTACTCAAATTAGGCGATTTAATATATCTAGACAGTGCTCTATTTACGTATGATTACTATTCAAATAGACCCCCAAGTACTTTCAATAATTTTTGTAAGAGCATTAAAAAAGTACATCAATATGCAACTAGACTTATTATTTGCCGAAAGCTAGGACCAACTATGGGAAATTTAATATCCGTTTCAGTGGCGCTAAACTGTGGAATTCTATTAAAAGAAGATCTGAAATCAGCGAGTCGTTTTCCCTTTAAAAAGCTTTTAAGAGATTCTGCCATCTCCAAATATTGATTGGTTGCTTGTGTACTTTATTATGTGCAGCTATTCGTGTGCACAGCCATTGTGTTGCTTCTTTGTTTATTCGTTTGTGTATATGTTTATCTATTACAGAAAAATATTTTTCTTTGTGTTTATGTGTGCATTTGTTTATTTATTATAACTTAAATATCTGGTTACTATTCAAAGGTTCATATTTTTCCGCATGGCCCAGCCGCTCAGGAATTTTAGCTTTTGATATTTCTGAGTGGCTGTGCTCTCTTTTTTTCGCAATTATTTTCCTTTAATTATTTTACTCCTTCTGTATCAAGAGCACAATAAAGATTTGTTGTTGTTGTTGTTACTGCGAGTCGTCTGTGCGAAGATTCTGCACCGACCTTTTGTTTAAGTGACATCTGTGAGAGAATGCGATGTTTATTTGCATGTTGTGGTAGTGAAGAGATGAAACCGACAACCATGATGAGGAAAACGCACAAGAAGAAAACCTACAATCAGATGAACCATCTGTTAGAGAAACTGTATTATAATCCGGAATGCCCATCAGCATTAGGGGGTGCGAACACCTTGTATCGTGCCGCACGTCGTTATGGAGTAAAACGCTCTCAAGTGCGCCGTTGGCTCTAACAACAACCGGGTTATACCCTACACAGACCTGCGAGGTAACACTTTCGCCGCAACAGTGTAGTTGTATATGATATTTATTTTCAGTGGCAGTCTGATTTAGTGGGCATGCAAAGTCTGAGTCTGTGAAATCGTAACCACAAGTATACTTACTTGGATCGATATCTTATCCAAGTATGCGTGGGTGATTCCCGTAAGACAGGCTCTTCATTGGTAGAGGCCTTCAAAAAAATCTTCAAGCAGGGAAGAAAACCAAAGAAGTTGCCAACAGATGTCGGCTCTCAAATCAAAAACAAAATTTTTCAAACATCCCTTAAAAATGAGAACGTGCATCATTTCGTGACATACAACGAAAGCAAAGCTCAAGTGGCTGAGCGCTTCAATAGGACCTTGAAACAGTTACTGTGGCGGATGTTTAACACTACAAGTTCCTATCAATATTTAGACAAACTTGACAGTTTGATCGATAGAAATTATAATCAGATTGTGAAAGGTTTGAACCCAGGAGTCATTTCATAATTAGGAGGTTGAGTATGATCGTCCGGGTGAGTGTAGTCCTGAATAGGACTGTTGTTGTTGACAGTGACTGACGTTTCGACAACCTGTGCGGTAGTCATCTTCAGAGTCAAGTGAGTTGTATCACGTC